ATATATATATATATATATATATATATATATATATATATATATTTGTAAACTCGTAAAAATACTATAATTCACAATAATTAATAAATGATAATTCAAAATGTTTAAAATCTCTATGAACACTTATGATAAAAAAAAAATAGACTTGTTTGAATCTCAAAATCCAAAAAATGTCACATAAAATGTGATAGAGGGAGTACATATTTTACCACTAATTTAGAGTTTCCTATCATATATTTAGTAAGATACGTATTATCTTCGGAACAATTCCAATTAATTTGTTTGTATGTTTGGTACCAGATGCACTAAAATAGGGAAGAGGCAAGCGAACTGGGGAGAAAGGCAAGGGGGTAAAACTTACCTGCATCGGGTGTTTACACCAAGTCAATACATGCATGCCATGTGTTTAAGTTTATTGTTCATGTCATGTTACTTCATTAAATCACATAATAATGAAAATTGTATTGACTTGGTGTAAACACAAAGTGTAGGTAGTTTTTTCCCAAGGCAAATGAGAGGGAGAGGGAGAAAGAGATAGTTATGTATCTGGGATGCATATGATCACACTTAATACATAGTGTGTATATATATATATATTACACCTAATTTTGGCCTCATATATCCTGGGATACATGTATCTTGATGTATCTAAATGCACTCAAATATAATAAAAATTATAATAATAAAAACTAAAATATGTCTAATTAAACCAGTTGGATTTATGTTAGTTTCTCCTCCTCCTCTTCTTCTTCTTCTTCTTCTTCTTATTATTATTATTATTATTATGGTTGTTGTTATTCGTACTTGGCACTAATTTTACTGTACAAAGATGTGATTGATCATGTGTTGATTAGAAGGTCTTACTTTTGTCAAAATATTACTACTAGTTATGTACCTCGTGAAGGGAAAAAGAGGCCACATTAGAGTTTTCAAATATGAATTTCATTTAAGATGATTATTTTGAGATTAATTAATTAATCAAGATGTTGACGAATCAATTAAAATGGTATACTAGTTACGTGCATGAATATAAAATTCATGCATAACTCTATATTCATGCACAACTCAAACAAATCAGTGTGTTCAACATGAACTTCTTAAGATTGTACATGTACAACTAAGTGCTCTTAAAAGGATGATATACTCACTAGTGGTTTGATCAACCTTAGGACGGCAAAATCCGTTCATAAAATTATAATCACTCCAAATTCTTTTCAGTTTGAGTTGATTATTGATCTGTTTATTTATTTATATATAATAAGAAAAACGATATTTCTAGTCCTTGTGTTAAGGTTATATTCTTATTTTAGTCTTTGTGTAATCTAACTCTAATGTCAATAATGCTAAGTTAGATAACACAAGAACTAAAATAAGAAATTAGCCTTAATATAGAGAATAAAAATACCGTTTTCCCAATATAATAAAGAAAATTAATAATATTATAGAGTACAAAAAATAATAAAAGAATAAATAATTAAAACCTAGTTCATAAATATTGCTTAATCTTATTAGGTGACAAAAATTCACAGGTAATTGAACTAAATAGCTGACCTAAAGTAACAGCTCATGTTAGCATCAATATAACGCGGGGCACAAAAAAATCTCTGCAGTTAACGAAAAAATAAGTCTCGTCAAAGATATTTTTAATCTTCTGTAATTCAATATTACTAATTTGTTAAATCAAGTTAATTATAGGAGAAAGGGCAATTCGAAAAGCGGGGCACGTACGTAATTAAGGAAATAAATGTTTACTGAGAGAAGTAATTAAGTAACTTTAGTTAGTTAGTTACGGTTATAGTAGTAATTAATTTAGGAAATATAGTAACTAGAGTTTGTTAAGTATAATTCGAGCCTTTTCCATTATGGTAATAAGAGTTGTATGTATAAATAGATAACTATCTAAAGAGGTTTTTCAAAGGCGAATTATGTTTGAATGAACTATGTCCTATCCATATATGAAGATCAACCACCATGGGAGATATTTGGAGCTAATTATGAAGAGAAGTTTCGTTACTTTATTACTCCTTTGAAGAAGCAGAAGACTGAATATACAAGGTTTTCTCGAATTTGTGCTAAAGGGACGTGGCAAGGGCAAACCGGGAATCGTACGGCGCCTGTGGTAGGGTTTAAGAGAAACTTGAAGTTTAAAACAAGTGAACGTGGCCAAAATAACACCTGGTTGATGGTAGAATATCATGTCGCGGATAGTTTCTTTAAGGAAAATAATCATATTCCTAAGGAAGATTTTGTGGTGTGTCGAATAAAGAAGAACAAGAAGGGTAAAGAGAAGAACGTGGATCATGTTATGGAGGCACAAGATGGAGATGTTGTGGGGATTATTGATCCTATGTTGCTTGAACCGAATCATAATAACGACTACTCCACGAGGGAAGATCAAGTTAGGGTTTGTGATGCAGTTGAGGCTACAACTACCGAATTTGACATCCAAAACAGTACTTATGAAGCTACTACAACGGAGAAGAAAGAGACAGCGTTGGAAGTACAAGAAGGCCACGGAGTTGATGATATTAGAAGCAATGAACTTCAGGAAGAGATGTATAGAGCATTTGATGACATTCCTTTTGAATTGGTTGTAGAATTCACACGTTCTACAACATATATAATACACATCAATAGTTCCTTAGATGGATTATGTAGTTGACTTTTTTTTTATATATATAGTTCAGTTCTTTTAAATCTATTGATCATTGTTTCTTCTCCTTATCGGGAGGTTTCTTGTTCACGTTGGATTAAATATTTTGTTAGTTGTATGGTTTGATTAATTTCTATTCACTTCAACTTTTTAAATTTTCATAATAAATCCATTCATAATTGGTGTTTTGGTGGACGAGTTGTTTTCAATTGTATTTGAATTGTACGAGCCTAGAAGAAGAAGGGATATCTATAATTGTATCTTCGTCCTAATATTTGTATTAACTAGTAAGTATCAATTTGATTTGTATAATTATTATGGATTGATTATGAATACATTGATAATTAGAAGTTTTCTCGATTAATTATTTTCAATTGTATTTGAATGGAGCAAATCTTGAAATAACAGTGTTGTCACTAATCGTATAATTAGGTTATTTTCGTTCGTATTTGGATCTGAATAACACCACAATCAGGCTGTGAAAATACAGAAAATGAACTTCATTGAGGTAGATATTAGTATATTTTGTTTGATTATGAGCTTCAGCTTAATGGCAGAGATATTCAAAAATAATTTGATACTCCTATACCATACTTCTCTATAATCTCTTGTCATTTTCTGTTCTTAATATTTTTTTCTACAACATATATTTCTATTTCACTACAAAATTTCTTCAAAGGTCACTAGTAAAAAAAATATTAGTTTTAAGTGTAGAGATGAACCAAAAATTGATCAAAGAGTATTTTTAGTAGGGAAAATTGTATATAATAGCAAACTAGTAACCTAAAATAAATGGAGTAGCTAGGGTTTGATTTAATTGTACTCCATAGCAAACGTTAGCTAAGGTTTGTCAGGCGTCTCTCTCCCAAAAATCTCGCTCGCCACTCTCCACTCTCGCTCGCCTCTCTCGCTTTATACATAAAAGTGTATAAATTTTGTTTCTGTTTTGTATAAAGTAAGAGAAAATTGTATATACACATGCAAAAATATATATTTTCGTGTTATACACTTAATTATACAATTTACAAACATTTTACTTCAAATATTGCAGACGATTGCGAATTATACAATTGCAGTGAAATACAATTTTGTCTAGCTTTATACAACAGAAGTGTATATATTGTGTTTCTGTTTTTGTATAAAGCGGGAGAAAAACATATATCTTCTTGCTATACACTTATAATTATGTAATATACATACATTTTAATTCGATTCAACTATATGCAACGCAAATTTTATAAAAAATATTGCAGCGAAATAGGCAGCGAATTATACAATCGCAGTGAAATAGGATAGCGAATTATACAATTGCAACGAAATAGGCCAGCGAATTATACAATTTAGGCCAGCGAATTATACAATTGTATATGTATAGCAAATTATACAGTTTTATGTTTGCTATGAAGCGCAATTATGTAAACTTTGCTATAACATACAAATATAAATTTTTTGTTTGATATATGTGAAAGTTGCCATTTTTAGTATAATATGTAAATAAAAGGATATATTTAATCCTTCTCCAAATGAATCGAATCTAAATTCAATCAAAAAACACATATTTTCTCCCTCCTATATCACACTTATAACTTATTGAAGCAGGATAACTTATTTAAACCAATCTAAATCCAATGTTGTTTTTTTTTTACTTTGGGTAATTTGATTAATTGGAATATCCTTATCATGAGGTGTTTCTCTATTATTATTTTTTTGGAGCAACTTTATTCTCATGCAAAACTATATAATCATATCACAAATCACTTGTTTAATACTCATAGTCGATGTCTATCCATTAGCATAATTATTGTAATTAATTAACTAGTTCTATATCCCCATCCATCATGATGTGATCTAATCACTCTAAGGATAGCCTTTTTGCCAACTTTAATTAATCACAAAGATACAGAATCGCCAGTCAAAATACAAATAAATTTACTTTTCCTTTTCAATTAAGAAAAAGACATGTGAAGTCAACTCTGACTTTTGACAGTGGCCTTCTAATAAATAAATCAATAAACATGTCTCAATAATAATAGGTTTGTCATTTTAATTATTAAAGATATTTATCATATTAAAAATTTAAGATGAAGTTATTTTTTATTAGTGATTATTTTGAAAATTACAAATATATCAATTATGTAACATAAAAATATATTAATATTTAATAAATAATTATATCTTACTCTTAATACATAAAAAAGAATAAAATAATTAGATATTTATTCTAATTAATTCTAAAGTGGCGTGTAAATGAAAGTCATAAATAAGGGAGTAGTGAACAACTTAGACACGTAGCAACACATTTTTTATTTTTTTTTTATATTTCAAATGATAATTTACAACTTTTCCACATCAAATAACAATATTTATTTTGTAATATCTTTCTCATGTGTTGTCAAATTTTGTTTTATATTGCATTTACTTGTACAACCAGTTAGAAACTGACAGATTTTTATCATGGATATTTATTCAAGAATTAAGATGATTGCAACTCTAATCAACTATTCAAATAATTATTTTTTTTCTTTGAAACTAAAAGTACATAATTTGTATTATTACGTGAACGATCCATATAGTTTGGCAGGCTACTTTGATTCAAGTTTTTCCTCTCTTTCAATTTTATGTAAGGTTTATATGGACATAAAATTTTTAGAATGTAAATTATTATTTATGTATTTTTGAATTTTAATCTTAATTAAAGGGGTTTACTACGTTCAAATAATTTGCACATAATAAAGAAACTAATATGTCATAATACATAGTAATTTGCATCGTCTTTTTACTGTTATGAAAAAATAGCTAGATTATATAATTTTATTTGTATTTATATATACACTTCTTATACACGTGTATCTAAAAATTCTAATCTTTTGCTTTTCTATGTTTAGAATTAGAATTTAGGATGATATATTGTATGTGTACGGAGTCTTGATGCATTTAGGATATTAACGTAGTATTTATTATGTTTTGAAATATAGCAAAATCTGGCTCTTTTAGAAAAATAAATACTAGTAATGCTATTTATGAAATTTCCCTTTTTATAAAAATGGAAGTCTATAAGGAAAAAAACAGAGGAGAGTAGATGGAAAGAAATAAATGAGAAAAGAGAGAGTAGTGGGTCAGTAATACACCTTGTCTTCAGGCAATTCCATGTGCTCACATGCTCTTCTTCTTCTTCTTCCATTTTGCTCTGTTTTTTGTTTAATTGATTTCTCTCAACAAAACTACTAAACAATAAATACCAAACGCCCAAATCCAATACAGAGTCCCAGAATCTACAGAGAAATTGGGGAAACGAAATGGAGAAGGGAAGTGATGGATTTGTGAGAGCTGATCAGATTGATCTGAAGAGTTTGGATGAGCAACTTGAAAGGCATCTTAACAGAGCATTGACTATGGAGAAGACAAACAACAAGAAGAAACCGTTGGATGATTCCTGCATTAATTACTCTACCGCTACGGCCGCGGCCGCAACCGTTACCGCCGCTGCCGCTTCCTTATCTCTATCTTCTTCCGTCAAACCCAGGCAAAGACACGACTGGGAAATTGATCCGTCAAAACTTATCATCAAAACCGTCATTGCTCGTGGTACCTTTGGTACCGTCCACCGTGGTGTTTACGACGGTATAGATGTCGCCGGTCAGTCACCTCCCTAATTTTATTTCTTAACTAATTAAAGTAACCTTAGTCGGAAAATTTTCCGTTCATGATTCCTGTGTGATACAGTTTCTCTGTTATCCTAATCTTCAATTTTATTTTATTTCTTATTGTTATCCGTTCCAATTTATGTGTTATCGAGATTTGCAACTTTTAAACCATCAATTTTAAGTTTTAAAAATAGAGGAACTTCATCTGAAAAAATCGTAAATTATAATAATAAATAACTTAAAATTATAAAGTTCAAGAGTTTAAACAAAAAACTTTTGATTTTGATTGTACACATGATAAAAGAATAACTTGATCAATTGTAATATGACATGCTACAAGTGAATATTTGTGCTAACAAATAATTTCAGACTCTCAAAATTTCAAACGGTATCACGTGCACAGATTACTATTTTAACTTTTTTTGGAGGGGGTAGAGAGTTTGTTAGGGAACCGCGGGAAGAGCATTTTTGGGACTGTCGGTCCATTTTCCTTTCTATCTTCTGTTGAGAAGTTATGTTTTATTTTTCTTTTTATCCTTTCAATTATTTAATTCTAGTGCATGGATGAAGACTAGGTATTAGGAACTTAATAAACAGAATACAAATGGTAAAAAATGGTCATAAATTCTATGGTAAATAATGGAAAATTTGTGCTCAGGTACATCAATATTTTGTGGGCCTGTTCATAGTTCAACTTTAATATTCTTTATTCAGTGTTTGCTCTAATGAATGCTCCATCCATACGATGTAATTTGTCTGTTTGGTTTTGACTTCTGAATTTTGTGGTATTAAATTAAAGATAGTATTAAAATGTAAAAAGAAAAAAATAATTTCTTTTTAAATAAATAAGACAAACAAATTGAAACGATTGAGCTATATTTATTAGTTTTTCTTCTTTTGGTTGGAGGGAGTAACAGAATGAATATTGTATAGTGATTTGATAGGCTTAAAATCTGAGTGCATTGTTATGGAATCCGTGAATAATGGCACGGGTTTGGGTTGAATTATGCAAGTTGGAGATGACTGCATTAACTTTAGCTGGTCTAGCAGTGTTGCTGTATTTCTGAACTTTCATGTGATTCAATCTGTTAGTCAAGTAATAATAAAGTAATACAAAACATTAATGCCTGACAAACTGATCCTACAACTCTGGATCTCATTTCTGCTCTCATAATATATATATTTTTTTATTTTATAAATTAGCCTTTTGGTGTTAAAAATGGTTGTCATTGTCACAACTCACAGCTATAGGAGATTAATGAAATTTGCTTGTTCAACTGTATAACATTTTTTTTAACGAGTTAATAATATAACTACCGCGAAATAATGGTCTTATTAACGTGCACATTTTGTATTCCTCTGTGATACAGTGAAACTACTGGACTGGGGGGAAGAGGGCCACAGAACAGATGCTGAAATAGCATCACTACGGGCAGCTTTTACGCAAGAAGTTTCAGTGTGGCATAAACTTGACCATCCTAATGTTACTAAGGTGACACTCGAACTCTAACCTTTTTTATGTGGGAAAGATTTAAGACTTCTTAGATGCTAATGCTTGGTCCTAAGTCCTAACAAAGCAAAGGGGTTAAAGATTTTGTGGTTAGTCTACTAATAATTTACAACATATGCTACCCTTTAGTCAGCTTATTCTCTTTTCACTACCTTGCTAACGAAGTATGGACATAGTGTTGGTAGAGCAGTCCTTCAACGTCTAGTTTGATGGCAATTAGCTATTTTAAATCACAGCTTACTCAACTCTGTGGAAGTATTTTGAAAAATATATCTAATTAGTAGGGTCAACTTGCATGGATGAACCTTAAACTCCCAATATAGGATGATAGGCTGTCGAAAAGTTGCAATAATATCTTTTTAAATTTTGTTGAAATCCCAACAAGACGTAATTTGATAGTCAAATTCTGATCTCTGATATTTGATGTGCTCGAGCTATCTTTTCATATGCAGCACACAAATATCTTGATTCTCAAAACATCTTTGTGACTAAAAAAGACATCATATGTGTTATTTTTGGTTCAAAGAAATGAAATAGAAAATTTCATTCATTGACTACAAGAAACCTTAATGGCGAAGATGAAAGAATGATTCCTGAAGGAAAGTTGACAGTGATGTCGAGCATGCCTGTATGTTTTGTTGGCTGAACAAATAATTGCAGTTTCAAATTACAATTAATTTTACAGGCTGCTCTGTATAATGATTTACTATCTCTCTGCTGGCTGGATGCCTAATTTGTAGTGCTGTATTTCATGCATAACATAAAGACCATTGGATTGTGGCAACTTCATATGTCCAAAGTCCTATCTCGTATCTTAGCATACGAACTGAGTTTAATTAGATGTACCCATATCTTTCCAATAAGCTGTTTATTTTACATAAAAGATGTGATATATCTCTCCAATTTAATGCAGTTCATTGGGGCAACTATGGGCTCTTCTGGGCTCAATATACAAACAGAAAATGGTCATATTGGCATGCCTAGTAACATATGCTGCGTTGTTGTGGAATACCTTCCGGGTGGTGCATTAAAATCTTACCTCATAAAGAACAGAAGAAGGAAGCTAGCATTCAAAGTTGTTGTGCAGATGGCACTTGATATGGCCAGAGGGTAATCGGAACTTTGACTCTCATGTAATTTGAACACCCCTTAAATATAAACCATTTATCTAAGTAAAGGTCAAACAAATAAACTTTGTAGGTTGAGTTACCTTCACTCTCAAAAGATTGTGCATAGAGATGTCAAGACAGAGAATATGCTATTGGATAAGACACGTACAGTAAAAATTGCTGATTTTGGGGTTGCTCGGGTTGAGGCTTCTAATCCAAATGACATGACTGGGGAGACTGGAACCCTTGGATATATGGCTCCCGAGGTAATTTTGGAAGTGGAGTAGGATTCACCTTTCCACCCTATCCTTCATTCACTTCAGTTATCTGTCTGGTCATTTTCTGTTTTTTTGATGGACTAACCAGATTCAGCACACATAAATCTTTTTTTCTGCTCCTCTTACTTGCAAAATGTTCCCTCTTTTTTGCCGAGATTCATTTTTCCTTTTGATATTAGTTGTATAACCCCCCGCCCCCAATTGGTGAATGTGTTTCAAAAGACAGGGGCGAGATAATGTTATATAGTGAAAACATTAAAAAGAGTAGTTGTATATAACATTCACTGTTACTGAGTAGTTGAATGCTAAAATTACAGGTACTCAATGGCAATCCATACAATAGAAAATGTGATGTGTACAGTTTTGGCATATGCGTGTGGGAGATTTATTGTTGTGACATGCCATATCCTGACCTCAGCTTCTCAGAAGTTACTTCAGCTGTGGTTCGCCAGGTAAACTCTCCAACATCCTAGCACTTCTTGGACATAAGTAATCACATATTAAGCAGACAGATAGATCAGAGAAGAATATACACTTCTTGGTTTTTTATATCTTATACGCTTTTTGTCACCTTATTTAACTGTGGTTTCTGTTGTGCCACACAGAATCTAAGGCCAGATATACCAAGGTGTTGCCCAAGTTCCCTTGCAAACGTAATGAAGAGATGCTGGGACGCTAACCCTGACAAACGGCCTGAGATGGACGAGGTAGTATCCATGATAGAGGCTATTGATACATCAAAAGGCGGAGGAATGATTCCCGTAGATCAACAACAGGGTTGTTTCTGTTTCCGAAGGCATAGGGGACCTTGAAGCTTATTGCTCAAGCAGACATACAAAAGTAGGTAAATTTCATCTCAATTTCCAAATATTTGACAAAGGAAGTGAACTCGCAGAGCCACAATATTTGAACAGTTCTATTGAGAAGCTATGCTGCATGCATCTTTCTCTTGGTTTGATGTAAATCTTACGTTCTCTTTTTTTCTTATTTTATACATACTCTCAATCTTTTTTTTTTTTCCTTTTCTATTTGACTAATGATTTCTGTTTTAGTCTACTTACATTTTCTGTGATTGAACATTATTTCTAAGAACGTAGCAACAAACTAAGAAGCCAATATCCACTATGTACTTGATAAAAAAAATTACAAAATGACCTGTCATATAACATGTTAAGTCAAGCTGGCCCAATCAGTACATCCACCTCAAATTCAAAACTAAAATAATTCAGAATTACATTTATTTTTTCTTTCCATTTTAGATGTCAGTGGGAGAGCAATCAACCTCCAACATAGCCACAGTGACCCTATTTTAATGAAGAATTAAAAAAGCACGGGGCTGACTCGAAGACCTGGAACCTTGGCTTAGTAATGAATGAAGGGAATCTCTTCGAGCTTCCTCTGTTAGTGGCTTTAAACTGTGTCCGAGTTTCTTTGAAGTTCAACTTCATTTGGCTTTTCTTCATCGTCCCAGTTGGTGGTTTTGTAATATTTTGCATAAAGGATGAGTTGAATTGCTCCAGATAATGTTCCCAGACCATTCGGTATCTATCATTAGTTTAGAAGTAAAAAAAAATATATATATAAAATGTAATCTCACAAGCAGAGTTTGAGAATAAATAATGCGAGTGAATACAATTAATTACCAGGATGTAAGGATCAAATTTGAGGAATGCATAGGCGAACCAAATACCTCCATTGCAAAAGTTTGCAAGTGAGAGGTAAAATGGCATGAACTTCACACTCTTGGTGCTGATCACTCGACGCTACATATGATTTATATTGTAAGTGTATATAACATAAATTCAACAACGTAACGTAAATCTTAAAAGGAGAGATTAATAATACCATGACAGTGAGGGGCGAAGCGTACATAGCAACATTCATAATGACAGCCAATATACCAACGAGCATTGATCTCTTCTTGGTTCCATGAAGGAAAGTAAGCGTAACGAAAACGAGGATGGCAAAAAGGATTATTTCAACTCCCAAAAAAATAGAAATCTTCTTCTGTAATACATATAAAAAAAACATGTTAGTTTAAATTACTATTGCGATAATAATACAAGCAATGTTGAAGAGCTATGTTGCTCGAACTCTTCAAAAATACAATGAGTATGTACATACACGCTTTGGGCCATCGGAATAGATATAGAAGACGATTATATATAAGAATTCAATAAAGAGACCAATGCCATTAATAGTGACAACAAGAAGACTGTCCGGATGAACAAATGGCATTCCATAAAACACCCAAACTGCACAATTCAATGCAGTTACAACATAAGGATCTGGTTTGAATTGCATCACCGTCTTTGCTTTCCATATTTTTATGAACGTTGGCCTGTATACATGCACGCACCTCGATTAATTTAACTAAATCGATAACTAATTAATCATAATAGTTCAAGGGAACTTACATGGGAGATAAAAAGAGGAAAAACGATATAACATTTCCTGCATGAAGAATTATTGAACGTTAAAAAAGATCGTTAATATAATGAATTAACGAATAGTATGATAAGGCACCGACCGATAATTCCAACAATCGTTCGTATTGTATGTGTATTCATTTTGTCTAGATATCTGATTAATGATAGAACAGTGTAACTTAAAAAATAATCAATCAAAGGAATAATTTGGCGAATTCCAAGGATAGAAGATCATATTTAATTTGTATATATGGATTTGAAATCCAGTGGTGTAAGGTTGTTAAAACCTTATATGTTGAATTACTTAATTATTCAAGAAAAAAAAATATGGAATTCCGTTAGTATTTATACATGACAAATAGATGAGTAAATATTGCTCAATTGGTTACCGGAGAGAACAAGTAAGTAAGAGTTCAAGTGAAAATAGCTTATTTTATTGCTATATACATGGAACTTTATCTACAAATTTAACAACCACCATGTGACTTTTCTTTGCTCGAGGATTTTTTGGTAATGCCAGTAAAGAGTGACCTTATATTTATCCAAATATTTATCAAACTAATTGATCTCAGTAGCCGTAAATCATAATTTATGGTCACTAATACTCACTAGTAGTGAGAGTGTACATAAATTGTATAGCTATATTTAATTTGTTTTTTTCTTCTCTTATTTTTCATCATAATCTAGAAAAAAGAAAAAGAGGATTTGATTAAAAAAAAGAAGTCAGGTAATACTTAGATACTTGTTCTCAAATTTTTGCAAGAGTTACATTTTGTATGAAGTATAATAACTTCACAAGCAATAAATATTCTTCCTCCTTTATTATAATTGTTTGAACCTTTTAATTTTTAAATATCTAATTTTCCTCTAAATTGTAACCAATAACTAATTTTTAAATATCTAATTTTCCTCTAAATTGTAACCAATAACGTAACTTTTTACTTTTACTTATATCATGAAATTTTTTCTCTTTTAAATCTATATATAATAATATATGAAGGACTAACTTATCGGCTATCAAGAAAATAAAATCATCACTAACAGAGTAGTATTATTACTTATTTAATTCGAATATACACACTACAAGATAAATTATATATATATATATACTCTTTTAGTTTCAAAAAAAATGTTTCTATTTCCTTTTTAGTTTATTTAAAAAAGAATGATCTTTTTCCTTTTTTTTACAACACTTTAACTTTAACTTTCCACGTGACATATTTAAGACCACAAGATTAAAGAGTATTTTGATATATTTGACATAATTTTAATTTAGAATCACAAAATTAAAAACTCTTCTTTCTTTTCTTAAATTTCGTTCTAAATCAAACTAGGTCAAATTTTTTTAAACGGATTATATATATATATATATATATATATATATGCATGTTGTAGTTAAAGTTAACTTTCTTTACGGT